TTTTCTCCTCTCCGCGAGGAATGGCCCAGATTTTAACGGACTGCCTTTGACGCGGCGCGGTTAAACGAATGTAATTTTCAACGTGGAACGATGGAAGTCGGCCACTTAGCCGTAACAATTTCGTTTCCATCCTAATCCGAAAGGAGGAACGCGAAACCCCGTGAATAGACGTGGCGGTATTCTCCGTCGAACGATTTTGCACGGATATTTATGCTGGAATTATTCTTACCTTCGGAGTGTACGTTGTTACAGCGAGGCGATGCAAAATAGACACTTCCCTTCCGACGTGTGTCTATTAAATTCCGCATTTTCGCCGCAGTTCGCGACAGCAGGAAATGCAGTTTCGCTTGGTTACAAAATGACAAGGAAATATATCATAATTACGTATGAAATTGCAGGTAGAAATTGGAATAATTGATACGTGTAAAACAAAATGGCACCGGGTAAACACGTTGAATAATTTATATTAATCGGACATCGATTAATTGTACGGAATTATGAAAAGCTGTTATCAAACAGCGGGGCCGTTTCTCTGGCAGTCTGTTTAATTAGGACAAAAGTTCACACGACGTGTAATTAAACCAAACGTTGTTTAAACGAGCAGCGCGTAGTTTAATAATGAAATTAAACCGAATTAAACTAAGTACGGGTTTCTGAATAAGTGGAAAAATTGAGAGAAAGAGAAAAAAATTCCATCGCGATATTACACACTGTGCTATCAGTTTCCACGACTCTGAGTTTCGTAATGGAAATTCACAAATCGAGCAGCAGACTATTAAGTCGAAAGACGGTGTGATGTTCGAGATGCGCCAGCCAGATAAAACTCTGTCCGGGAAATGAGATTTGCATAAATGATGTAACGGGCGAAGGCGAACGAAATTATGCCCGGTGGAAGGCGAAGGTATACGCCTCTCTGAATATGTATCGAGGAATCACCGGCGGTGATTGATGAACCGTCGCGTTCACTTGTCATCCTATCCACGATGACGTCGTTCTGTGTCTCTATAAGCGACGTGAACGCCTCTGCCTCTGGATCGAACCTCTGTAACGTCGAATGGATTCTCCGGTAGAGAAAAACAAGATCACTGGTGAATTGCAGGGACCATTTATTGTACTCCACGAGAGAGCTGAAAGGGAAGAAAAGAAACAGAAAGAAGGAATAATTGCGTCCGAAAGAAGAAAAAAGGTAGAGATCGCCTGTGTAACAGTTTTGAATGATCGATTGAATTTCGTTAACGACGGGGGTGGTGTCTTCTTTTTTCTGTTTTTTTTTTCTTGGGACGAGAATGGGATCGTTTCGATGTGTGGTTTCAACTAATGTTTGGATGAATTTCGCAAACGGTGATAGAAAAAGTGTCTCAATGATATTCAGTAAAACATGTATATAACAACATTTAATTGTCTGTCTTATTTCGGAGAGATATGTTTAAGTTGACGATTCACTGCGTATCACATTCATTCAATCGGAGACCGGTGAATGAAAGGGAGGATTTTTTAACTGTCTCATTCGGAATACTCGAATTCTCTCGCTAGATCATTCTCCCTTGAGATTCACAGGACTCCAATCGCAACAAAAAAAAAAAAAGGAAGTCAACGTGTATTATCGATTGCTACGCCAAGTGTAGAAACGTCTAGGTCGATTAAGTAAATAAAATTTATTTATCGAATAGTGGCACACCAGTGATGACGCGACAAGTAGTCATGAACTGTCGTACACTCTCTCTCTCTCTCTCTCTCTCACATTCTTTCACGCTTCGATTCATCTCCTGCTCAATAACGTAATATCGTCGCAATAATTCCCCCTTATCTCGTCAAATTCATCCGCCCTCCAATTTTATTTCCCTCGAAACATCGCAATTTGCGGTAATATCTCTAACCGAGACCTGTGGAAGCGAATCGTGCCGAAGATTTATACGCTTCCGGCGCGGGTAAGACGGAATTTCGTAACGCGACCGCGAGCCAACCGAAACGAAAGACGTCCACAGGAAGAAAAATGAACGACGCGTCTCCTAGGTGTGTCGGTGTGTGTGTAGGTGAACGCCTTCTTAATTAATCGACAGGGATGAAGAATTCATTTGTCAATGGGATTAGTGTTCACTCGAGAAGACAATTACGCAAGATCTCGATTATCTCGGTAGTCCTTGACAATTTCTTATCCTTCGCGTCTCCACCCTTCTTCGTTATCGACCAAATGAACTCTTCTCATCCTGGAGACATATTAATCTACGTCAATGCGATCAATTAATTTTAACAACCTCCAATTAGGTTCTATTTGACACGAGTACTGTCGCGAAGACTAAGTAACTTTCCTATCACAATATTTATCCTCGTCTTTCCTCTGCTGGCAGTATCTTTCGTCGATAAGATAATTCTTCTTTTTTTTTTCATTCTTCTGGCACGATTCGCTCCTTCGCTTTCGTCGAACGCTCTCAATCACCCATTCATTCACCCCTCCCCCTCAATATCGCTAATAACGCCGTAATAAAACCGTCGAACGACATGATTTCTCTCTCTTCCAACAAACATCGTCAT